CCCCGTCCCGGCAGCGGCCGCTCTGTGTGTTTGCGTGCAGGCTGGCGACCCTCCTTTCGGTATTACAGCAAGTGGGCCGCCCTCTTCGGGGCCACCGTGTCAGTGGTGATCATGTTCCTGCTGCCCTGGTGGGCAGCCCTCATTGCCTTCGGCATCGTCATCTTCCTCCTGGGATACGTCCTCTATAAAAAGCCAGGTGCGTGGAGGTAACCTGGCCCCGGCGATGCCCCAGGAGGTGTCTGGCCCCATTGCTAATCCATCTTCTCCATGTAGATGTCAACTGGGGCTCCTCCATGCAAGCCAGCTCATACAACATGGCCCTTAACTACTCGGTGGGGCTGAGCGAAGTGGACGAGCACATCAAGAACTACAGGCAAGGGCAGATCAGTGCAGTGCTGGGCATGGAGGGAGGGGGGTGCAGAGCTGGCCCCTGCCACCAGCAAACACTGGATGACTTCATGCCCATGGCCACGTCCTCATCACCATCCTGAGTAACTGGGAGCCCTGGAAAAATGTGGCTGTCTCCAAAATCCCACATCTTTGCCATGTGGGCAGAGGTGGAAAGCAGGGCAAACCTTGCCTTCCCCATACCAGGCAGACACAGGTACATTGGTCTCATCTGACATAAAAAGACCAAAGAGTGAGGCTGGACCCTCAGCCGCGTGATTTTGTCTCATCCTAAAGATGCTCCCAGTTGCCACTGGCCAGGCATGGGAGAAAAGACACAGCTCATTCCAGAGAGGCTCAGTGCCTCCGAAGTACCAGCCTTTGCCCCCTTTTCTTTCCCTGCCTGCAGACCGCAGTGCCTGGTGCTGACTGGCCCTCCCAATTTCCGCCCGGCCCTGGTGGACTTTGTGGGGACATTCACCAAGAACCTCAGCCTGATGCTCTGTGGCAACGTGCTGATCGTGAGTCCCCAGCAAAAGGCGGTTCATTCCTTGTCCTGGGGGCTCCGGCCACCTGCGGGTGGTGGGGTGGGAAATCCGGATGTGTCCCGGTGGGCTCATGGGGTGGGGATTGAAATGTGCCCATTTACGTGCTGCCAGATGATGAAATGTTTCATCTGGAAGCCTCTCCAGCTTGTTAAGCAATATTGATGAAGCACTGGGATGTCCCTGTGGGCTAATGACTTCCCCTTGCCAATTAATTGCCAAAACAAAGATATGGTAGGACGAGGCGGTTGCTCAGAGGACGGGGATGGTCTTGCAGCCCTGAAGCCTCAAGAGCAATTGGGGACACATAGCGCAGTGAATGCCAGCTCCTCCGCAGCTACAGGACTGCTGGCATCGTGCGCGTTTGGCTGCTAACTCCCAAATTCACTGCTTTTCTTGCTGTGATTGCAATCTCCCCGGCGGGCACTGGTGACTTCCAGGTCTTGCCAATGATTTGGGAAGAAAGGAGCTGGAGGTCCTTGGTGGCCAGACCACCAGCTGGAAAGGGCCACCTCTGCCTGAGCCCCTGCCCCTGCTCCCCCCAGGGACCACGGAAGCAAAAGATGCCAGAGTCCCGGCTGACAGCAGATGGACACACCAAGTGGCTTATGAAGAGGAAGATCAAGGCTTTCTACACAGATGTGGTGGCTGAGGATCTCAGAAGCGGAGTCCAAATGCTCATCCAGGTAGAGCCACCCTCACCCGTCAGGGTCCCTCCTCTTCCATCACCACACTGGGGGGCTCTTACTGCCCTCCCTCGCCTCTGGGCACCCCCCTTTGCATCACTCCCCTGTGAGCTGACACCGCCCGCGTCCATCTGTCCCTGCAGAGGGGTCTCATGGGGACATCTATCCATAGGCTGCTGGCCTTGGGAAGATGAGACCAAACATCCTGGCACTAGGCTATAAGAGGAACTGGCGGACGGCCTCCCCACAGAGCCTGGAGGACTACGTGGGCATCCTGCAGTACGGCCACGCCGGCTCCTCTGCCCCCCGGGGATGCTGGCACTCGGCGGTGGCCCCGTGGTTGGGTGCGGGGACGCTGCGGCCACCTGCGCAGGGTCTGGCCAGGCCAGCAGTGCCACCCGACATGAGCCAGCTGCCATTAACTGCCTTCTCCTCCCCGCTTCCAGTGACGCTTTTGATTTCAAGTATGGCGTGTGCTTAATGAGAATGAAGGAAGGGCTGAATGTGTCCCGAGTGATGCAGGCTCACGGTATGTGGTTTTGGGCAGCCGGGGATGCTTGGAGATGTGCTGGAGCCATAGGGTGTGCCAGCCAGCACCGCATCCCCAGGCGAAAGTCACAGCCCTGGTGGGATAGCACTCCTGGGCTGGGGACACTGGGGTGCTGCCCTACTGCCCGTGCTCTTCTTCTCCCTCCCCAGTTAACCCCATGTTCGAGGCAGCGGAGCAACCCGGGGAGAACGGCACTGGCAGCAGAGCAGCTCCGGGCGCAGGTTGGTCCTGGCTTGGGGCTGTCCGGAGCATCCTCAGCTCGAGGATTATTTTTGGGGAGCTGGCTTTGCAGGCAGAGGTGCAGGTTTTGAGCGGTGAAGGGGAGCAGGGCTGGGGCTGGGAGGAAGCGGTGCCTTTCCCTGCAGCCAGCGGTGTCCCTTGCCAATGCTGGGACCCTCTTGCCCCGGCAGGGGACCCTGCCGCCTTGGCCAGCGAGCAGCAGGCGAGCACCATCTTCCAGAGCGAGCAGGGCAAGAAGACCATTGACATTTATTGGCTCTTTGACGATGGAGGTAACATTCATCTTTAGCTGCTGTGGCTCTTGGCTGTCTGTCTGTCCAGCTAATGTGAACCCAGCACCTCCACCACAGTACCCAGGAGGGCTCGGTCCTCACCGAATGGTGCCAGGGCATCCGGCATCAAGAAAATGCTGGTGAGCCCACGGGGTCACTACAGCCGCATCTCCCATGGGGTGTTTTGGGGACAGGTCTCACACTGCTCATCCCCTACCTCCTGGGGCGCAAGAAACGGTGGGGAAAGTGCAAAATCCGGGTGTTCGTCGGGGGGCAGATCAACAGGATGGACGAGGAGAGGAAGGCGTAAGTGCTGGTGGCCGCTTGCACCCCACAGCTCCTCTTAGCAATGTGGCCACCGCCACTGTCCCCATGGGCGGGTGCAGGAGCTGCTTCCCCCCTGAGCCCCCCCTGGGCTTTGCTGTAAACGTGGGCTCTGACCTGACTGCTTTGCCTTGCTCCCCCGAAAATCAGTGGTGATTGCGGAGTGGGGAAAACTCAAGTTTAAACCCAGGACGGTGGCAGGGGTTTCTGCCGGGATGTGTCCCTGCCAGAGCTGCCATGCCCTGCTGATTTTTGGGAACTGTCCTTTTCCCTCTGGCAGGATCGTCTCTCTGCTGAGCAAGTTCCGCCTCGGCTTCCATGAGGTCCACATCCTCCCCGACATCAACCAGAA